ATTCCATTTGCACACGTGTATATATATATATATATATATGCAGATGGAATTCAATATGTATATGTGTTTGTATCTCTTCGTGCACCTGCATGTAAGAAACCGTCGGTGGTGAAATGTATGTCCCTCTGTTTATCGCTCTCGTCTATATGCACTGGTTTCGCCAGGCAGCTTGTTTAAATGACAGCTTGGCTTCATATTCAGGCCGCTGGATTTTGGTTCACCCACGGAACATGCCGCTGGTTCGGCCGTCCAAGCGTTGTTTGCAGCTTCTTTGTTCGACACGGCATCCGAGATGCCACATCGCGCGAGTTGCACATACTCCGTCTCAAGGCGTGCACGATCATGCATGATCCTCCACTTCTCAGAGGAGAGCCAGTCGAGACATGATTTTCGGAGCTACTGGAGGCTTCTCGTCGCCGTAGCTGGTTCCGCCTCGCAACACAGGTAAGAAAGACCCCCAGAGGGGGTAGTGGAACCGATGTTGAGTGGAGTTGGGCCGTCCAGAAGAGCCGCAAATGTTCCAATTGGCCTTCCTTCGAACCTTATCATCCTCCTCATCCTCGCTACCCCGTCGACCAGGGTGTGCCACGTCACTCGAACTTTAGAGTCAATTTTTGGATGGCTCGCTTGTGTCACTGGTCCATAGCGGGTTTGCAGACACTGCGTCTTCTTCTGGCGGCACGAATCTGATTGAGGCTAGGAGCATGGTTTGTTAGACACGTCACCAGGGCAGGTCCTCTGCGGAAGTGCGGGAGGGACCATGCGAAGCAAGATCTCTGCTCCACACCCCAGTGCCAGTTCTCTGCGCCGCCTCATTCAGGGCGGATCGGATTTGAGAGCTCCAGTGGCCCGCTTCGTGAAACATCACGGCGTCGGAGGTCTGAAGCCTCCTGTAGGGGACAGGCTCGACTTGAAGCCAGAGTCCGCTTGAAGCATCCTCCCCCATCTTCTCCTTCCTTCTGCTCTCGCCTCCCGGAGGCGCAGCCCCGGCTGGCCCTGCTGGGGTTGGCTGGCGTGCCGCCTCTTCGTCCCGTCTCCTCCTCTCCCCCCCCCCTCCCGAATGAGACATAGCTCCTCCACGCCAAGTAGGGACTGTGTGTTGGCAGGCCCGTTCCCCTCCCCCTCCCTTTTCCCTTCTTTGCCCTCCTCCCTCTTCTCGCGTACGTCGCACCTGCTACTTTCACCACTGGTTCGTTGCTCGCTGCACCCGCAGTCCACTGCGCGCCGATGGGGTTGCCATGGCCACGCATTCACTACGTAGATCGTTGTTGCTGTCCTGCTCGTCCTCCCCTGCTCCGACCGGTGTCATGGATACGACATGGGGTGAGTTCGTTCTCGTTCCGCGTTCGCATGTTGGTCATTTGTGCATGCTTCTGTGCTCTTCCTCCGTTGTTGACGTTGCGCGGACCTGAAGCACGGGCCTGCGGCGTTTATGCGATAGGACAAGCAATCGCCAATTTAGGCGAAGAAGCAACGATATTAGATCAGTGGCGAGCGCTGCGGCCAAGGACTGGCAAAAAAGGACGGCAGCTGAGAGAGGCCAAAAACGGCGCAGGGAAAGCGTTCGATACCAGCATTGGTTCGGTAGCAGATCATGGGAGCTTGGTATACCCTCTTAATCCAGTCTTTAGCGCCGATTAGCGTCGACTAGCGTCCAGGAGTCGATGAGATAGCACCGATTTAGCGTCGATTAGCGTCGATTAGCGTCGGTTTAGCGTCGACTAGCGTCGATTCGCAAGAGCCAGCAAGATGGTACGGGAGGCTCGCATGAGCTGCCACCGAACGCTGGGGGAGGTACCTGAGCAAAACAAGAAGTTGCACGCTCTTCCTCCGCCTGGCCCGCTGGCGGCGGCACGAGGCAGGAGGCACTCTCCGAAGAGTTGAATGGGGATGAACGTTAACCTCCTCCTCCTCCTCCTCCTCCTCCTCCTCCTCCTCCTCTTCCTCCTCCTCTCCCCTCTCCTCCTCCTCCTCCTCCTCCTCCTCCTCCTCCTCCTCCTCCTCCTCCTCCTCCTCCTCCTCCTCCTCCTCCTCCTCCCCCCCCTCCTCCCCCTCTCCTCCAGCAGCAGGCCAAAGTTGGAGATCGGCTGGGGGCGCAGGCGGAGCAGATACGGAACGCGGCCCCGCGACGGACGGTGAGGCCGCGCGGAGTACGGGGACGGCCCCCCCCCAGACGAGTGCCCAGCAACGTTGGACTAAGGACTGAGGACTAATGGACTGAGGAAGGGGAGGAAGGGCCATCCCCTTCCTTTCCTAAGTCCAGGACTAAGGACTAAGGGAGGACTCAAGACAATCCCCCAGAAAGGGGGATACGAAAAAGGACTAAGGACCATGGAGGGAGGGGGAGGCCCCCCCCCCCAGGCACGCGGCTGGCCTGCAGGCCGCGCCAGAGCGCTCCACGCGGGCGCTGCACAGGGCTCAGTGCAGGGTTCTTTTCGATCCGATTCGATGCTGATGCTCCGACGATGCGGTGCGGGTCGATGCCTGCATGGCCTCGTTTCGGCGGCGCCCACGCACGGGGCGGCGCGCGAGGGGGGCGCGCTTCTCGGAGGGCGGAGTGCTCCTGCTGTTGCAGGGAGCCCTCCGCTCGGCGGCAGCCTTACTTAGAAGCCCTCTGCTCCGCCCGTTCGGAGAAGGAGCCCTCCGCTCGGTGGCAGCCTTACCAAGAAGCCCTCCGCCCCGCCCATTCTGAGAAGCCCCCCCCCCTGTGAAAGCAGTGTCCTTCTCGAAAGGGCCCGGAGGCAGCTACGGTGGCCGGCTCGGGAGGAGGAGGAGGAGGAGGAGGAGGAGGAGGAGGAGGAGGAGTGAGGAGGCGGAGGAGGAGGAGGAGGAGGTGAGGAGGAGGAAGAGGAGGAGGAGGAGGAGGAGGCAGAGAGGGAGGAGGAGGAGTAGGGGGGGGGAGGGGAAAGGGGAAAGGGGGAAAGGGGGGGGGAGAGGGAGTGGAGGGAGGGAGGGAAGGGAGGGTGAGGGGAGGGGGAGGGAGGGGGTGGAGGGGGGGAGGGAGGGAGGGAGGTGAGGTGGGCGAGGGAGGGGGGGACGGGAGAAGTGCCTCTGAGCTGGGTCTGGAGGGAGGGAGGGAGGAAGCCAGATCGCCTCAGAAGCCCACCTCGTCGTCTCCGGCAAGGCCGCTCGCCTCGCGCCGCTTGCCTTTTTTTTTGGTGCGCGCCGCCGATCCTGCTGTGCGCAGACTGGCGCAGCTGGCACGTGCGCGCTCCAAGCCGACTCCTGGCGCTCGCCTCCACTTTCTCCTCCTCCTCCTCCTCCTCCTCCTCCTCCTCCCTCCTTCCTCCTCCTCCTCTCGCTCTCCCTCTCTGCTCTCTCCCTCCTCCTCCTTCCTCCTCCTCCTCCTCCATCTCTCCTCCTCGCTCCTCCTCCTCCGTCCTCCTCCTCCGCCTCCTCCTCCCGTCTCCTCCTCCTCCGCTCCTCCTCCCTCCTCCTCCTCCCCGCCTCCTCCCCCTCCTGCTCCTCCTCAAGTTCCCCCTTCCCTGCTCCCTCCCCTTCCCCCGCCCTCTTCCCTGCTTTTCCTCCTCTTGCGAAGGGTCTGACGTTTCAAAGGGTGACGGGAAGGCGTACACCGGCAACTACTCGGAGGTCCGGGCGTGTATTGAGGAGCCGACCTGCCAGGTGTCGAAGGAGGACTGGACAATTCAGGCGATAGAGCTGGTGTACAAAGAGCTGATCGAGAAAGGCCACCGCCGCAGCCTCTGGCCTTCGAAGAACAATCAACCACAACATACAGATAACTGTTCGGAGACCCGCGCGGATCTCTGGAGTCGGCGCTGGGCCCCCGTGGCGGCGCCCTCGGCGCCGCCTCTGGCGCGCTCCACGCGCCAGGGAGGTGAGCTCCAGCGCCGATCCACGGCATCCGCGCAGATTTCGGAGAGCTTCCAGCTCAGACATCCAGCGCATCGAAGAAGTCGAAGCGGCGGGTTTGCAGTATTTTGGTTGCCCCCTGCTCGTCGAAACACGTCACGGCCCGAGATGAAAAACAAGCCCTGGGAAGTGATCGGTTTCTTTTTCGTTGTTCTGCCGATCGGCCCAGGCCCTCGCACCCCCACCCCCCTCCCTTGGAGTAGACTGGCTGTTTTGGCGGCGCCTGTTTCGTGCAGGTGGATGTCCCCCCCGCAGGACGACTGCCGGCAACGATCGCGCGAAGCGGAGTCCGGAGCCAGACCCACCCCCCGCCCAATGCCGAGCACGCCGAGGCAAGAAGACGTTACCAACGGAGGGGTCGGGAGGTCGAAAGAGCGCGTTCTGTGGACGCTTTCGCTTGTTTCATTGTTCTGTTTTTTTGAGTTTGGGGGTTATGTTTTGTTTTCCTCCCCTTTCACCTGGTTCCCTTTCTTCCTTCTTTTTGGTTGGGATGTTGTGGCGCGGGATGGGGCTGGGAAGGGCGAGTGGGGGTTCGATCTGGTGGGGGGGCCCGCCTGGCATGCAGGGGTGCATGGGAGGGGATGGGTTCGGCCCAGGGGGGGGGAGGGGGAGGGGGAGGGGGGGTCGAGCCCAGGGGGGGCACTCAAGGGGAGGGTGTTCGAAGCGTGGGCGGGGGCCTCCCCTGAAAAGTTTTGATACCGGGGGCGGGGGCCTCCCCTATATGGGAGGGTGGGGGCTTCGAACCCGGGAGAGGGGAGGACCCCTCAAGGGGGGGGGGGATCCGGGGGGGGGGGCCTCTTTGAATAGTCTTTTGGGGGGGTTTGAAAACGACCGGCCCCCCCCGCCCCTCTGAATTGCAAGGGGGGTGGGGCTCGACCTGTGCCCCACCCGCCTCCCTGCAACCGACGACGGCGAGCGCCATCGCGGGCGCCGTCCGGCAGCGACGGCGGCGACGACGACGACGACAGTTACGCTCGCTCGCTCGCACGCTTGCACGAGCGGGCGAGCGAGCGAGCAAACGAGCACCATGCCTTGAATGTCCCGCCCGCCCGATCCGACCCGCCCGCTGTGCTCGCTCGCGTGCGATCAGGCTTGCGATCGAGCGAGCAAGCGAGCGAGCACCATGCCTTCAACGTCCCGCCCGCCCGACCCGACCCGCCAGACTCTTGCTCGCTTGCCTGAGCGAGCGAGCGAGCGAGAGGACCGACTCCCCTCCTCCCTCTCTCGCTCGCTCGCATGCCTTCTCCGGCTACGGCGAGCGAGCGAGCAAGCGAGCACCATGCCTTCAATGTGTCGCCCGCCCGACGCGAAGCGCCCTACTATTGCTCGCTCGCGCGCGCGCGCGTGCTCGAGGGGGCGATCGAGCGAGCGACCGAGCAAAGCGAGCAGCATGCCTTTCATGTTCCGCCCGCCCACACCGACCCGCCCGACTGCGGGGGGATTATATTGGAGATGGATGTCGGGGGTGGACAGAACCCCCACCCTGACACGTCGATTCGTGAATTGTCTGTTTTCGGTTCTCGAGAGGGCGCCGCGGCAGTCATTTTCCCGGCTTGCGCCCGCCAGGTTTGGGCCCGAGGTTGTGTTCACTAACCACGTTTTACTAAAGGGGGTTCTGTCCATCCCCGAGGATCGAGCCCGACTAGGATGCTTGTAAGGTTGGAGCCAGCCATCGTGGGAGCTCATGAGAGCTGCATCGAGCCTCCGTAAGAATAAAATCGAGCTGGGCCTAGCGATAGTAGGATTCTATTGGGGGGGGGGCGGTGCGACCTCCCCCCTTTGACAGGGGGGGGTTGTGTTGGTTTGAAGCCCCCCCGCCCTCTGGTCGGCTAGTGGGGGGGGGCCTGCTTTTCTAGGGACGCTCAATGTAGTGCCCCCCCCCGGTTCCAACGCGTCGAGGTGTGTTTGTCCAGGCGAACGTCCACGAATCGCGTTCTCTCGGAGGTCCTGGAGCCTACGCTCCGAAGCAATCGAAGCGTGGGATGTTTGGGGAGTTTCCGTTTTTGTGTGACGGATCTGTTCGCAGGTGTTTTCGGAACGCTTTTTCTGGGAGGAGGGACGGGAGATGATGGAAGGGGGACAGCACAGTCGGCCCTGATGGGCAGGTCGACCTTGCCGAATTGAGGGTACCCTTTGTGTCCTGTGTACCCCGACCTATGTTCCGAGGCGGGAATTTATCCAAACCCATCGCCTGGGGTATCGATCTTCGCGGACCTCCACAGGCGGTCGATATGGATATGGATATGTATATGGATCTGGATATCTTCAATGCGTTCCCTGACCCGTCCCTGGTCCGCGCACATGCCGCCGACCATGATTTGCACCCCCCCCTCTTGGACGCCCCTCTCTTGGCCGCCCCCGAGCGGGGGCGCGCATGGTCTGGGTCCCAAAGAGCAGGCCTCGGCATAGTCATGCCGTACAGTGGGAGCTCGACCACAAGAAGCCTTCCACAAGAGGCCCAACCCCAGGACGTCCATGGACTGTTGGTATGGGAGAGTCGCGCTTTCCACAGCAGAACCATCGAGTCCCAAGAAATCCAGGGCACCCTGGAGGCCAGCAGGGTGTTTCTTGGCATGGGCCTCCACCGTCGGCTCGTGTCGCATCGACGCGTCGGCGCGCGGGCGGCCAAAGTCGAATGCCTCTGGTGGCCTGGAAGAGGCCGCCATCGAACGATCAACGCCATTGGGGATCCGCGATGGCCTCGGGGTGGAATGTCTCTCTACAGGAGGGATGTTCAATAATAGTCGAACAACACTCTGGGGACGATTTTGTTTCTGAGCATTTTGGGAGTATTGCCTCAGTATTTTTATTTTATCTTTGACCCGAAATCCCCCTGTGGGGGGACAGGCCCGACCTAAGGGTAGTCACGACGCGCACTGGCCGTGAACCTTCGAAGCTCCGCGCGGACTTCTCGGCTCGGCGACCTGTCCTCCCACTGGCGCGAGCCTCTGGCCGGTGACCCCTCGGCGCGCCCCGCGCGTCAAGGAGAGAGGGGGTCCAGCGCCGACCCATGAAGCCGTTCGGACCTCCGACACTGCTCTCAAGTCGGGCGTGTCCCTCTGCGGGAGGACTGCTGAAACACAGTAACACAAATAGTATGGGGACGGTGGTTCTACCATGTTGGGCCTATTTGGGGGTATGTTTCAACTTTTTTTATAGTTTTGCCCAACATCCGCCTGCAGGGGGACATGCCCGACCTAACATTACTCCCTCCTTCTCAAGTATGGTTGCTGCTTTCAGTATTTGTGTGTGTGCGCGCGCCGATTTCCCTTCTGTGCGCAGCTGCTCTGGTGATGGATGCTTGCATCTGCAATCGTGGTGCGCGCTGTGCGAACATATAGTGCAAGAGTTGGTACGGTCGTGCCGGGAGCCTCGGCAGCTGTCGGCGTGTCGCGACACTTGGATTGGCACTTGCGCCCGTGTGCCATGTGCGTTTACCTCGTCTGGGGTGCTGCAGCATGGCGACGCTTCCTCTCTTGCTGATTTTTGCTTTGAGCGATTTTCCGCAGACTGCATCAGCAATATTTCCTGCGGTACGTTCGAGGCAGAGTACAATGCCACTACGCATACTTTGAACTACTGCGCCACCAGCGAGTACTGCGACAGGGACCGTCCTCTGGGGAGGATGGGGGGGCAACACATTCTCCTGTGCCTGAGTTGAACGTGTGCACATCGCTGTCTCGGGCACTCTTGCCCTTCGTGCAGCTCGCCATGCACCTCCCGCATACTCGTGCCCCTCCCCCCCTACCTTCTGGATCGCATCCACCTCATATTCGGAGCGAGGGGTCTCGGCTCACGCGAGCCCACTCCAAGTTGCACACGTGCTGCCCGGTCTGGCGCCAGCAGGGGCGGCTGTTCTGTTCATGTCACAGTGTCTTTCTCGTTGTCCTTCGTCTTGGGAGAAGGAGGAGGAGGAGGAGGAGGAGGAGGAGGAGCAGGAGGAGGAGGAGGAGGAGAAGGAGCAGGAGGAGGAGGAGCAGGAGGAGGAGAAGGAGCAGGAGGAGGAGGAGGAGGAGCAGGAGGAGGAGGAGGAGGAGGAGGAGGAGGAGGAGGCGGGGGCGGTGGGGGGGGCGGTGGGGCCGAGCTGGGGGTCCGCGGCGCAGGGGGCCAGCGGTGCCAGCCTGGATGGCCATCCAGCGGTGACAACAGAAGTGGCGGTAGACATTCTGCTCGGTGCTTGGGGTTTCTGCCTCCGTGTGATCGTTGTTTATTCCTTGTTTTGCCGATCGGCGCGGGCCCTCGGAACCCCCCTCTTCCCCCCCTGGAGTGGATCTTGTCTGTTTTGGGCGCCTGGTTCAGGCAAGGAGTCTCCCCTCATAGGACGCACTGCCGCAAACAGTCGCACTAAGCAGAGGGTCGGAGCCAAACCCCCGCCCCTCCCCCCTCCCCTTCCGCCCAATGGCAGATGCCCCGCGGCTGATCCAGGCCATTTGCGAGTAGTTACGTTGCGAGTGGTGGAACGCGCTCGTCTAGATGTCGCACCCGAAGCAGACCCTGTCCTCCCATCCGCCTGTGCGGGCTGTGGGCCGCAATTCTTATCCCCCTCGCCCCCGCTTCCTCCCCCATTCCCCCCTCCTCGTCCTTCGCCTCCTGTCTGCCCCCCCTGTATCCTTGCTGTCGCCCCCAAACCCGTCCCCTCCTTCCTCTCGCTCCCCTCCTTCCCTTCCTCTCGCTCCCCCTCCTCCTTTCCTGCCTCTCGCTCCCCCTTCCTTTCCTCCTTCCTCTCCTCCTTCCTCTCGCTCCCCCTGCTAGTAGCCGCCCCTCCTCCCTTCTCCTGCCCCCCACCTTCGAGCCGCAGGGCAACAACAAGTTCCTGTGCGGGACCCTCCTCCAGTACGGAAACATGATGGAGGCCAACAATTGCACCGTCCCATCCTGGGAGCGGAAAGAGCGCCGGGATGCATATGAGGGTTTCCTGGAATGCCTCTGGGGCCTTTTTGACGGCTCTTTGGGGCATGTGATTCGCTTTTGGGAGCTTCTCAAGGGCCTCTTGGGGGCCTCTTGGGTGCCTCCTGGAAGCTTCTCTGGGCCTCCAGGGGGCGCCTCGGGGCTCACTGAAGGCTATTGGGGTCATGACGGCGGGAAAGGCTCGAGATGCCAGTTCGCATTTCCCCTCGTAGGGCCCTCCTGGGCCTTCTCAGAGGCCCCTGGGGCCGTCTTGGGGCCTCTTGTGCCCTCTTGGGGCTCAATTGAGCCAGCTTGGGGCCTTCTCGGGGTCCTCATTAGCTCCTCAGAACGTATTGGACGCTGTCAAGACGAACAAGGCCTGTAAGTCGACAGCGCACGTCTTCCAGATGGAATGGGAGGGAATGGGACGATTTGTGCTTCCTGAAGCCCTCTCAGCGGTGCTCTGAGAGCATTCTTGGGTCGTCTTTGGGGTCGCGTAGGCCGTCTTGAGGCCATCTTGGACCGTCGCGGGGTTAACCCCAGCCGTCTCGACGCTCTCTTGGACTGTCTCGGCGCTCATTGGGCCGTCTTGGGGCCTGGAGCGCCTCTGAGTGCGTTGACGAGCTCGTGCCCCCCCGCCCCCCTCCCCGGGGCCCCCTCCCGGGCTCCCCCCTTCTAATGCGATTTGTGGCCCCAGGGGAGTGGGAAGGGGGGGACATCTCACGCGCCTTCTCACCCCGGCAAGCGAGTTCGGCGTATTCCACTCCGACATTCAGACGATCCGATGCGGCCCGAGGCTTGCATGGCGCCGTTGTGCATCCTGGCGCGGCCGACCGGATTCGATTCCGACCCCGCGCCGATGCGGCTCAGTCCGATACACATGTTGGATGGGCTGCGCTCGCGGGGCCTGCGCCCTGGTGCGCCCGCAAGGAGGGGCGTGCAGAGGCCGCTGCCTGGCCAGAGCCCTCTGGGTATCGTCCCTCGGTTGCAACTCCTGGTAGCTCAAGTTCAGCCTCGGCGCTGGTACGTATCGTCCCTCGGTTGCACCTCCTGGGAGCTCAAGTTCGGCATCGGTGGCATCGGCGCTGGTACGCATCGTCCCTCGGTTGCACCTCCTGGGAGCTTGCATTCAATATCGGCGCTGGTAAGTGCGCGGTCCAACACCGCCCTGCTCTGGTGCAGTCTGGCTCGCGGGCCCCCAGAATCGGGCTCAACGGCGCGTGCCCGATCGTTCCCGCAGAGACCTCCTAGCTGTTGCCTCCCGCGGGTGGGGGCCGAGTGGTGTTGCTGCCGCCCCGGGGCGGCAGCAACTCCCGCTCGGGGGGCCTCGGGGGTCAGGATCTGGCCACATCCTGACCCCCGAGGCCCCCGGAGGCCTCCAGAGGCCCCCGGAGGCCCGGCCACGTTCGAGCAAGCGGAGCACTCACGCCCTCGAAAGGAGTGTGTGTGTGTGTGTGTGTGCTCCCACCCCATCGCGCGGTGGTCATGGGTAGGACGGGGGGGAAGGGAGGATGGGGAGGTCGTCCTTCCACTCCTCCTCCTCCTCCTCCTCCTCCTCCTCCTCCTCCTCCTCCTCCTCCTCCTCCTCCTCCTGCTCCTCTCCTGCTCCTGCTCCTCCTCCTCCTCCTCCTCCCTCCTCCTCCTCCTCCTCCTCCTGCTCCTCCTCTCCTCCTCCTCCTCCTCCTCCTCCTCCTCTCCTCCTCCTCCTCCTCCTCCTCCTCCTCCTCTTCTTTCTCCTCCATCAACTACCCATGATAGTGGTGGTGGGAAATCGGCCCTTCAAGCCTGGGGGGGAAGTGCGCGGGCCTTCTCGGAAGGCTCCGAAGGCCCCCCTGGCCTTCCGAGAAGTCTTCTAAGCCTCCCCCGAAGATGCAGAGGACTTCCCAGAAGGCGCGAGGGCCTCCAAGAAGCCTCGCCGACCTCTGAGCAGGCCTGCGCCTTCCCATCCCCGCCCCCCACGGGCGCCCCGCCTAGATGCACCTGTCTCGGGGGCCCCCGACCGGTGTGGCGACCACGCCGTGTGGTGACTCGGCGGGGATTCGCGGCCACCGCACGGTTCTGGGGCTTGGGCCGTCCTCCGGGGAGGTCTCGGGCGACTGGGGGCCTCCAAGGTCCCCAGACCGTGCGGGGACAGACCGCGCGGTGATGTCGAGTGGGATCTCGAGGTCACCGCGCGGTCTGTCACCGACCGCACGGTCTCGGGACCCCCAAAAGGAGCGTCGGAGAGAAACGGGGTCGTCTTCAACGACACTGGCGCGCAAGCTGCTCGCGTGAGGTCGCCGCCCTCTCTTCCAGCGAGGCGTGCCGCGTGCCAACGGCCCCCGCGAGCCTCCGCGCGAGGTTGTTGTGCATGCCATCTCGCGCAAGACCCGTTCTTGGTCGTCGCCCAAATCTCGATTCGGTCAAAGCTGCCGACTGGGTGCTGGCTGCTGACCCGTGGGAGTGCTCCTTTCCGCTCCCCGCCGTCGACCAACGCGACGGACGCCTGCGGCGCACGGCCCAGCCGCCCCCCCCCCCGTCGGCACCGCCGCTGGTGGCGGCCCCCTGCCGGCACGCGGCACTCTGCGGGGCTCATGCTGCGACTCCTCGGGAGCCTCGAGACGCGGGTCCATGCGATCGGTATCGTTCAACCAATCCCCATCCCCATCCCCGTCCCCTCCGAGACCCCCACCAAATTACCACCCCAGTTGGGGATAGACCCCTCGAAACCCGAAGGGAGCGGCCTATATCCCCATCTAGGGGGGTAAATCGGCCAGTGGGGCCCAGGCCACGCCGCTGGGGATGGGGATCGGTTAAACGATACTCAGATCGGGGGGTCCGCCAGAGCGCCGCATCTTGCTGGACCCTGCAGAGCCAGGGGTGCACAGGCCTGGGCCAGCGCGCAGGATCCTGCAGGAGCCTGATGGGCCCGGGTTTGCATTGGCTCGGGTCAGTGGAGCACCGAACTCCTCTGGTTCCACTCGATCCGGTTCCGATTTGGGCTCCGTTTCGCCAATGGATCCCGATCCCGATTCGGTTCGGCTCCGGATTCCGATTTGGGTTCTACGATTTCTCGGTGGAGGCAGACGAGCCTGCCGAGTTCCTCCGAGGCGACTTCTCCCGACTGAGTGACTCGGCTCCCGACGTCCGCCAATCCGTTTCATGCCGATCGCCGATCCGACCTCTCGATCCGCTCTCGCGCTGCAGCACTCGGGCAGCGGCGTGCGCACGATCGCGCCCCCGCGGCCCCCGGATCGCCGCGGCGCGCGCCCGGTCGGCGCGGTGGAGCTGTACGCCGGTCGGCGTGGGGCAGGCCAGCGTGCGGTGTGGCGCCGCGGGCGAACAGCCCATGGGGAGAGCGTACGTGCATTCGGGTGCGCCGGTGATCTCTGTCTTCGAAAAGGCTCCCGGGCCAACGCGTGTAATGCCCGCCCCTGGGCTATAGTCGCCCCTGTCGTCGCCGCTGGCCCGCCCTGTGCTCGGCACGATCGGCATGGGCACACGCAGCGAGGGCGCGAAGGCCGAGAGCGGCGCGCTGCTCGCCTCGAGAGCAGGACTCGCCGCCGGTGTCCGGGGGGACGCTGCCCCGCCGAGGCAGGGCTCGAGCTGAGGGCGGTGTTCGGGCGATGCCGTGGGCCGTGGTCGTGTTGCTCTCGTGTTGCAGCAGAGGCAGAACGAAAGCGTTTAAAAGTCAACAATTCAGGCTCCAAAAAATCAGATTCTTTCGACTGGTTACCAACATTACTATTATACAGTGCTGGGATTGCATTAGGGCGATGGGCCACGAAGGCAAAGCGAACACTGAGAACGCTGTTCAGCTCGAGCCCTGGTGCCCAGTTGAGACGACGGGCTGCCTGGCAGCAGAGGCTATCCACTCTGGAAACCATTTGAGCGACGTGGAAAAACGGGGCCGTCTTCGCCGACATCGGCGCGTAAGCTGCCCGCGTAAGCTCGCGCGTAGGCGCCCTCGTCTCCAATGTGGCGTGCCGCGCTGGCGGCCCGCGTAAGCCGCCGCGTAGGGTCGCTGCGCCATCTCGCGAGTAGTACCCGTGTTTTTCTGATTCTGTGCGGGCGGCTCGAGTGCCCGGCTGTCCCCCACCCCTGGGGTAGACTGCACCGAAGAAGCCATGGCAGGGGGATGGCGTGCACAGGAGGGGCCCCCGTGGGGGCATCGCCTGAAAAAGGGACCGAGTGCGTTTCGGAGATCGATGTCGCACGCTGTCTTCGCGACGCCAACCGTAGGCGGTTGTGGATGGTGAGGCGTCGGGTTGCGCACAGGCAGCCCCCCCCCCCCCAGGTAGTCCCGGCCGACCTCAGCAGCCTCAACAGGCTCCGGAGCAGTCTTGGGCGGTTTCAGCACCCTGGCGCCGTCTTCGGCGGCGCCCCTGGGGCGCTGCGCCCCAGGGTTTGGGATATTGGGACCGCTGCTCGGGGGGGCTGTTGAGGGCCAGCCAGGACCACTTGGGGGGGTTGTCTGTGCACAGCCCGCAGCCTTACCAGGTGTGGATATCATTCGGGGCCCTCCATTGGCCACACCGCTCTGTGAGTCAGTGGGGATTCGGCGTGACCGCACGGTTTTGGTAACTGCGTGAGTCGTTCTCCGAGGACAACTCGTGCGACTGTGGCCTCCGAGGTCCCAAAACCGTGTGGTGACAGACCGTGCGGTGGTGTCTTCGGTCTCTGAGGATTCCGAGGTCGCCGCCAGTCTGTCACCGCACCGTTCCTGGACCCCCAGAAGCATTTCCAGGGCCAAGATCGATGCTTCTCAGGACGCGTGTTAGCCCAAACGTGTGTTTACCCCGTTCGGCTCCGCCGATAGCGAGCAGTCCGTGTCGATCCTCGTTGAGCCGCCTGCATCGTGCATCGTATCGAAGGGCCTCGGTGGGCAAACACACGTTGGTGCTAACACACGTTCTCAGGATCATCGACAAGAGATTTCTCAGATTCGGTGGCCCCCTCCTTTTTTCAATACGCTCCCCGGCTGGGTGCACCCGAGCAGAGGAGCATGCCCGCACCGATGCCCCGCTCGAATCACCGTGTGGGGTTGCAAACGGGATGAGGGGATTTATCAGGGGATGTTGAGGTTGATTACTTGAATGACCGCGGTGGTTGCTGAGTGGATACGGGTTTGCAGGTGGATGCCAAGGTGGTTTGCAGATGGCCTAGCCCAGCTGATAAGCGGGTTGCAAGTGCCCTGAGTGGCCTATAGCGGGGGTAAGGATCCGGGCTAAGTGGGCTCCGCCCACTTGGCGGAACGGTCGGACCCACCCGAGCCATTCAGAGCACCCGTACACCTTTCGTGAGCTGCTGCTTGGGCCTCGCACCCCCCCCCCCTGCAGCAACCGGTGGCCCACGCAGCGGAGCAAACCGCGGCACGTGCACACACACACGCACTCGGAGCTCGGCTTCCTGGGTCGACGCAGGGGCCCCCCGGGCGGCGCCTCGCGCGCAGGGGCTCGGGGCGTCGAGCGCCGAGCCCTGTCGGTGCCCCCCCGTCTTCTCCATGGGCCTCGCGCGGCGCCCTCGCCGCCGCGGCCGGCTGCGCCTCGACGGGCGCGGTCGGGGCGGTGCGCCTCGACGGGCGCCGTCCGGATGTCTCTCCTGGGAGGTCAAGTTCGGGTTTCGGGGGTGGACAGACCTCCCACCCGGACACGTCGATTCAGGAATTGGCTGTTTTCGTGTCGTGAGAGGGCGTCGCGGCCGTCATTTTTGCGGGTCCAGGTCAGTCGGCTTCGGTCCCAGGCTGTTTCGCGAAGGGGAGGTCTACTAAAGGGAGGTCTGTCCACCGCCGACTGACTCTACCCTGGCCCGACATCCGGCGCACTCGCTCTCAATCCGGCCGATGAGTCCCGCTCGACCCGGCCGAATCCCGCTCGTTCCGAGGCCCAGTCCAGCGCAGCGGCCCCCCAGCGTGGGGCTCGATTTATTTACAATTTTGTCCGACGACGACCTCCCAGCAGTTGCCTCCCACGGGTCGGATCCGCCTCGACGAGGCCGCCTCCACGGGCATGGCCAGATCCGCATCGACGGGCGCAGTCGGACCCGCCTCGTCGCTGCGGTCGGAGCCGCCTCGCCTCGCCGCTGCGGTCGGCTCCGCCTCGACGGGCAGGTTCGGCTCCGCCCCGCCGCTGCAGTCGGAGCTGCCTCGACAGGCATGGTCGGTTCCGTCTCGACGGATTCGCCTCGACGGTGTTTGGAGGGCGGTTCTGCAGAACAGGGGGCCCAGACCCTGGTGGGGCGGAGACAATCTTTGCAGGGGTTTCTTTGTTTTTGTCCGTTCCGGCGTCTTCGGGCCGTTCTCGGGCCCCGGAAGCATCAGACAGTAGCCCGCGGCGAAACAGATGATACCGGGGATTGGGCCCACGTCGTCAATGTGATCGTTTTCTTTGTCATTGTTTTGCCGATCGGCGCGGGCCATCGCACCCCCTCTCCTCCTCCCCCCCCCTGGAGTAGAGTTTGGCTATTGTTTTGGCGTCTGTTTCGAGCAGGTGGAGCCTCCCCAATGGGACGCACGGTTGCAAACAGTCGCATGAAACAGAGGTCTGGAGTTAGACCCCCTTCCCCCCCCTCTGCCCAATGTCGAAACGCCGAGTAAGAAAACGCTCACCATCGGGGCTCAAGGGACGGGGGTCACTGCGAACGGTTCTGCAGAGCCAGGGTTGCAGTGGCCCAGATCAGCGTGCAGGATCCTGGAGGATCCTGCAGGACCTTGCAGGATCTTGCAAAGCTGGATTGACTTGGGCCAGTATATTCCCGAGTCTAAAGAATACACAGGACTTCCGACCCTACAGACGACCCCGTTCTCTGACCCCCAGACAAACCCAAGGCCTGAGGTCTTGTTCTGGAGTCGCCGTCGCCTGGCCAGCTCTCGGGAAGCGCCGTAGATCAAGTTCAGAGGTTTGCGCTTTTGAACGAGTCGTGATTTGTGACGGTGTCGGATGCAGGTGGTGGTGGTGAGGAGGAGGAGGAGGAGGAGGAGGAGGAGGAGGAGGAGGAGGAGGAGGAAGAGGAATTGGATGCGAGGGTTGCACGATTTGCGGCAGGCTCCCGCACGCAATAACTAAGGTGGCCGCGGCGGCCGCGGCGGGGGCCGCGGCGGCGGGGGCCATGGCGGCGGCGGCGGCGGTGGCCAAGGCGGCGGTCGCGGTGGGCGCTGAGGCGGGCACCATGGCGGCGGCGGCGGCACTTTGTTCCAGAGACCTCTGGCGGATCTCGAGGCGCTGGCAGGTGGCCGTGGCAGCGCGAGCGGCGCTAAGCTGCAGCCTCCCTGGGGCGCGCGCGGCGAGGGAAAGAGGCGCCGAGGGGCAGCTCCTCGCAGCGGCAGGGGCGGGTGCGGCAGAGCCTGCGACTACGAAGGGTATGGCTTTCTGAGGGGGCGTGGTTTGCAATCTGCGTCATTGAGACCTGGCGGGCACCACGTTGCCCTCGTCGGGGCGCGGCGGAGAACTCTGTCGAGTTCCTCGCCCGCCGCCCAGTGTTCGGGTTGCAAGTCACCCCCTTTGCAAGCCACACTTCTTCGGAGTCGCCGACAGAGGGCGGGGAGTGCCTGTGTAAAAGCAAGGCGTGGGCCAGACCCTTGTCTGGATCACCGCGGGGGTTGCTAAGGCGATAGGAGAGTTTGACGGTGGATGCCAAGGTGGGTTTACGTCCAGCCATCGCCGTCTTGCCTCACGGTCCCGCGGCCCGGCGAGGGCAGAAATTGTGAAGCGTGAGACACTGGCGCCCTGATTTTTCTGATTCGCTGGAGGTCTGGGGAGGAGGGGCCCTCGTCTTGCGTGCTGCCCTCGGCCAGCCGCGCACCAGAGGCTGCCCTGGCTCGGGGTTGCGCTTGCGCTCCGCCGACGGTACATCGCCGATGCGCGGGCGGTGCGCGGCGGCGGTCCTCCGACCTCGGCTGCTCGGAGCCCCTGTGGGACGCCTCGCACTCGGACCCCGTGTGACGGGGCCTCTGCTGTCGAGCGGTGGCGAGGCGCCCCTGCCTGCCTGCCGGCACACCAGAGAATGGGAACGTAGCCCCGTGCGGCTTGCACGTCGTTCGTCCATCGGCTCCACGTCGTGAGAACACTCTTCGTGTGATTCGAAAGCTTTGCGGTTCTAGGAACATGTTGCGGAAGTCCTGCAGGAATGCCGGGCCGGCTGGCCTTCGCTCATCATTATCTTGGAGGCCTTCGGTAGTAGATCGTCGGAGCTCTGTATACCCTCGTAGTTCCGCTTCTGGAATGCGTTGGCGTCGATTAGCGTCGTCCAATCCATGAGATAGCGCCGATTTAGCATCGATTAGCGTCGATTTAGCGTCGACGACTAGCGTCGATTGGCGTCGATTCGCAAGAGCCATCAAGACGGCATGGGAGGCTCCCGTGAGTTGTCGCAGAACAGGCCTATCGGCCACGCGCAGAGGAGGGTAAGGGGAGGGGGGAAGGCTTCTCAGAAGCACCTATGCTTCCCAGAAGCGCGCAGGCCTCGTCTGCAGATGCAGGGCCGGCGCCTTCTGAGACGCAGCCTACTCCTACGAAGCCTTCCCCCCTGTGCGCGCCGCCAAGAAGAGTGGGCGGCGAGCGAGGGGGGGGGACGTGAGAAGCAGAAGGCCTGCTCAGCAGGCGGCAGGCTTTCGCAGAAGCCGTGGCGCCCTCTGAGGAGTCTTCTGTGAACGGCTTAGAGAAATCTTTGCAGAAGGCCGGGAAACGTCTAGCCTTCTTATCTGGACACCCAAAACAGATACGGAATTATCGGGTACCGTGCCCGAGATCAAAGGCTGTCCGAAAACGACAGTTGCCGCTGTTGGGCAGACGGCCTCCTGTCTCAAGTGGACAACGTCCGCGGCGGCGCGGACAGCGGGACCTGTTCAAAAGGAACGGGAGCTGCTGTCGGGCATCGCATCGTACAGTGGAGGCCCATGCCGAGAAACACCCTGCTTGCCTCCCGGGTGCCCTGGGTTTCTTTGGGTTTCGATGGTTCTGCGATGGAGGTCGTGACGTTCCGACACCAAACATCGATCGACGTCCTGAGGATTCCAGGTTTGGGTTTCTCGTGGAAGATTTCTTGTGGTCGAGCCCCTACTGTACCCATTCTTTCTGTACCCATGCCGATCGTGCAGAGAGAAGGCCCGCCACTTCTCCCTACAGCCAGGCTCGCCGCCGAGCCTCGATTATCGGGCCGCATCGGCACGGTGTCGAGCTCGAGCCGGGCCTGCGAATATACGCGCGCTCAGCGCTCGAGTGGAACAAAAAACACACCGCTGCCACGTTTTCTGTCCTCGCCCCTCGAGGGTCGGGGGGGGGAGGTGCTCGAACGTGGTTTGTTTTTTAGTCGTCAGCCACTGATGTTTGAGTGTTACACGCCGATCGTTTGAAGCAGGTATTTTTGGATCTCCAGATCCCAATCTGCTTCCAGCGCCTTCCTACTTCAAGAACCGATGTGCTTTTGGTGTGTTTCGTTATTCAATGGGAGGGCCTGGACCCACTATACTTTATCCGCCTTCCTACTTCATGCTTTTACCTACTTGCCGACCGACCGCCCGCATGATTGGGTGGGAGCACACACACACACACTCCTTTCGAGGGCGTGAGTGCTCCGCTTGCTCGAACGTGGCCGGGCCTCAGGAGGCCTCCGGGGGCCTCGGGGTCAGCTACTAGGAGGTCTCTGCGGGGCACGATCAGTCGGCGGCAGCCGCTAGGAGGTCACTGCTGGGAGGTCCCTCCTCGTCCGCCGCCCCGGCGCGCCGCCTAAAGAGGCCCTCGTGCGCGCCGCCCCTCGCGGCCAGCGCGCCGCCCGCCGCCGCCGCCCTTTCGGCCGGGGACGCCGCGAGGCGGCGCCCGCCGCGCGCGGGGCGCAGATGGCGGGCGCGGCGCGCGGTCGCCGCGGGCCGCGCGCGGGATGCCCGCGGGCGCTCGCCGCGCTGGCGGCGGCGGGGGCGCCGCGCTCGGCCGCCCCGCGGCAACGTCTCACGACGTCGTCGCCGTCACCGTGGGCGTCGTCGTCGTCGCCGTCCTGCGCCCGCCGCCTTCGCCTTCCTCGCACTCCTTGCCCTCACTCTCCTTCTCCTCGCACTCCTTGCCCTCACTGGCAACGCCAGCCAGAGGAGGTACGGGTACCGATACCCCTACTTAGCCTTGCTTAGTTTTCACTTTTTGGGGCATCCTAGGAGGCCCTCGTCGCCATGGCCCTCCGCCTTCCTCTCCTATCCTCCTCCTCCTCCTCCTCCTCCTGCCTCCTCCTCACCACCACCACGAACGAAATCGGAGGCTAATCATATTCGAGGCTACCGCCTGCACGACATGCCCCGATGGGCACAGGCGCGTGCTCTCCTTCTCGGTATCGCCCGGGCGTGTGCATGTTTCTCGGTGGTGCCAGCTCCAGAACGTCTGGACCATCTTTCGGCAGATTGGATGCTCGAGACAGTAACACACACGAAGTCAGGCAATGCACGGGGAGTGGACGTCCCAGCGACGGCAAGCCTCCTCCTTCTCGCCCTCAGGGGCAACGTCGGGGGGGATTGGGTTCGGGGGTGGGGGGTAGCGAACTTGAAGTCGGCTGGGGGTCTGATGTGGCCCAGGCCTGGTCCTTGCCAGCAGAAAGGGGAGAACGGAACGGGGGCCCTTGTTCGCCTTGTCGGACCTCCTGGGGGCTTTTAGTCTCCACGTGTGGACGCGGCTCGAACAATGTGTGTGTTTGGATCCCGGGAGGACCATGGTCACCTTGCAAACAAAGAAAACATGGACAGCAGAGGATTGGTGATATTCGTACTGAAGGGAAATGTAACAACACAGTTTTTCAGTGATACTCATGAGCACACCAACAGCATGCCCCCGCACGAGGAATGGGACAGAAGATCGGATGACATTTCGACATACGATGCTTGAACAAGTATGCGGAGTGTGTGTGTGTGTGTGTGCACAGCGCGATGAGCGGGACGTTGCGCAAACACGCGTTGAGCACGATAGCGCGTACACCGAGATGAAGGACAGAAGGATGGAGCTGGTGGAGGAAAAGAGAGAAAGAGAGAGAGAGCTTAGAGGAGAGATAGTGGAGGCGGCTTCGGCGGAGCGTGTCAGAGAGGTGGAGGAGGACGTTGAGAGAATCACTGCTGCATTGGGGTCCACTCGAAGAGCTTACCTCGAGGTGGACAGGGCCGACCTAGTTCATTTTGGCACGCTTGCCGGGAGGATAGGTTTTCAGACACGCATTTTTCGCAAGGGGTCTACCAGCGCAAACGCAGTTGCCCGAAGCAGCGATATCACACTACAGCCGTCGTTGCCACTGGTCTGGGGCACAGTTGAAGGACAAGTCGGGGGAAAGGATCCGCAGTTAGGTGGATTGACTTTCGTGCCTGTTGGCTGGGAGGAAACGAGACAGCACTACTGTGTTGGGTACTTTAAAATGTTTGCCCAGGGGACAGGCCCGACCTAAATATAGATGAGTTCCCCTACGGCCGAGCTGATGGATAACGTCAGGCAGGACCAGAGAGCGACGATACCTCACTGCCGCAGTTCTTAGAAGAGACAGGCTTACGCAGAATGGGGGAGTACCTGTAGAAGGTTGTTTGGTTGCTACTGGAACGTATCGTCAGCATGATCGGCCCCGATGGCGCCCCTCACAGGCTTGAAACGATGTGGGCTTGAGAGGGCCATGTTGGCGGGGGGCGGCGGGGAGCTGGAGAGACACGCCACTCACCACCTCTACACCAAGGGTCGTAAGCTCCCCGAGCGCCTGGAATGGAACTGGGGAGGGAGGATAGGAGAGCGCCACAGGAGAGAAGGGCTGCTGGCACGAACAGCGATCGAGGACCGTAGGTGGCAGTTCGGAGGCAGGAGCATGCAAGGTTAGGGCAGCCAGTCTTCTCAGAGTTCGAGTTCGGGGCGCCAGAGCTATTCAGGAGCATACTTCTGCAATTTAGGCGATGCCCCCCCCCATCGCGACATGTGGATGCCACCTACTCCGCACCTGACGTTCAAGCAGCAGGAGGGTAACGAGCACTGAGACGAGATGAGAAGGAGCATGGTGGAACAGCATTAGGAGGGAGGAGCATTATCCTGGCGAAAGGCCCAACCATTGGCAGTTGTGGGCACGGCGTTGTGGGTACCGCTTTCGGTGGAACGCCATATGTGGCCACGACACGTGTGAAGTGTGTGCCGGAATGGGCGCGGTGGCGTCGTGCGAACGCAGCCATTGAGGCCTTCGGTGGAGCTCCCTGTGGGGCCACCAGACATGTAAGCGGTGTGCCGAAATGGGCGCGTCGGTGCCATGCGAACGCAGCCGCTGGTTCCTTTGGTGGAGCTCTCCTTCTGGGGCTGCCGAAAGGATCGCGGTGGTGTCATGCGAACGCAGCCACTGGGGCCTTCGGTGGAGCTGTCTGTGGGGCCACGACACGTGTGACGAACGCAGCCACGGGGGCCTTCAGTGGAGCTCCCTATGAGTCCATGAAACGTGTCAGGAGTGTGCCGACATGTTTTGCATGCGGAGGCCAGGGGCAGGGATGGGACGAGGAGGAGGAGGAGGAGGAGGAGGAGGAAGAGGAGGGGGCAGGGGGAGGGAGTGGAGCGCGGCGCTGTCTCATCAAAGCGAGGACCCAACACCACATGGTGGTTGGCAAAAGCTGCGCCGATGTCACCGTCTGGGGTATCCTGGAGGCCTCATAGTAGCCTCCGGAGGTTGAAAAGGAGCTATTATTGCAAAAAGGCCGCCATAGCTCATCAAGGCAGCCTTTGCGCCCCAGCGTCGGCGATAACCTAAGATCATGGAACTGGTTGGCCCGATGGATGCCGTAGCAATCGTTCCGACGTGAAAGTCCCAAGGGCTTTGCATCCTTTATTTCATAGCCACTCTTGCTTGCCGCCCCCCAGTACTGATGGCACAAGCCTGCGGCGAGGTGACCATTCACTGCGGTGCTCGCTGACACATTGTGCTTGCAGGGTCATTACAGTGCTCACAGGCGCTCTGTGTCGCCCGCAGGGTATCGTGATACTGGTCTGCCACACTGCCTTGCACAGTGTTGGGACGTTGTTGTGATGTTCTGGACCTTTGCAAATCTCAGCACAGAGTGCTGGCAACGCCTGGGGCCTCC